GGAGTCCCGTCGCAATGTGAATTTTAATTCATTTGTAGTGAGGATGCCGACTGAATATCTGGCGATTTTCATGAAAGAAGATCTTTGGCCGTAATGTGTTCGGCGCTTCCGAGGTCGGTTACCTGACACCACTTCGCGTCACACGTCGCCGGCTATCGTGTTAATTAGGTGTTTATTAACATAGTTAATAATTTTATTTACTAACAACAATGTTTTATATCTATATATATGTTAGACTATAAGGTATTTATCCATGGGCCTATGTAGCCTGATTATAAATAAATAAATAAAAATAAGGGTACCTCAAGCCAAGAATTGGCGAGTGCCTCTAGAGGTGTTCCAGGCGGATGGCATCTCCCCACAGAGGGATTCTCCTCTCCGTCTGGAGCCTCTAGAGCACGCTAACCTGAGGGGATCGGCTCAACCAGAGGGCGTCTCTGAGACTCGGCCCTCGGCTCTAGATAGCCGTTGCCGTAGGGGGCGACGCTCAGGTGCGTACCTGTACCTGGTATACCGTGTCGTGTGCAGACCGGGTCTTCGCACTCTTATCCTACGGGTGCGGCGTCTGCCTAATGCTAAGCTAGTGTGCAAGTATGCTAGCTGTGTATTTTTGGGTCTCGTTTTAAGGAGACCATGCTGTAACCCTGAGGGAATACCTTAGAGGGGGCTCTTTTACTTTATTGTTCGTATGTAAGGTTCCAGGAGCTATAGGGTACGGGATTGAGTTCAGATCAGCAAATATGGGAAAAGTTGCAGCGGCACACAACGTCATATTCGCAGTTGGTCTACGCTCACACTTCATATTATCAGGGAAATTAGAATAATTATTTGTGTCTTGTATAAAAAAATGGGGGCGGAAATAGCCTGTTTTCTCTAGTGGTGCTTTAACTTTATTTTAATAGAGCAACCAAAATTGAATTTCCGCGTCAAATTCAAACCTAGGTGGCCCAGTCTAGCCGCTTCCAGGAAATTGGAGTTAGGTTAATTTGTTGGCTCTTTGACGAGCTTAAGCTTGATGGAAAACGAATAGTTTTTAAATGATATTTTACAAGCAAGTGATGAAAATAAATCCGTCTTTTATTCCGTTTTGTCGTTTTCTTTTTTCCAGCAGTCTATTAACGCCCCAGTTGATAAGGTATTATATAGGCGTTCCCTTATAGATATAATAGAAAGAAAATAAAATCTCACTTCCGTTTTCGGTAGCTGCCATTATAGGCATTAGTGTCGCCGCACACGGGCCACACGCCACAGCCACAAACGCCGCCACGAGAAGCTAAAAGCGGCTACTTAAATGGCTGAAGCGCGCGACAGCGGCCAACTAAGGTAAGGGAGAGAGGGGTGGGGGAATCGCGCGAGTGACGTGTAGCGGTTTTTTGTATCGGCGCATTAAATGGCCGGTGCGGGCCACAAGAAGCGAGCAACGACGATTTGTAGCATGTGGCGGCCACCGGCGTACTGTGTGTGGCGTGTCCATATAAAATGTATGAAAACTGCAAGAAATATGCCGGTGGCGGCATTTTGTGGTTGTGGACGGTGGCCCGTGTGCGGCGACACTTAGTTTGATATGCATTACGCCATTATACGGCAAAATGTCGCTATGTCTGCAGAGACAGCCAGTATAGTAGATATTTGACATTTGTCAGAAATCCAAATATATGAGATCGTAAGTAAGATTGCATCTTACGGAATACCTATACGGATATAATAATGATCGCTGGCTTAGTGCGGATTGGTGCACACCCTTGAGGAGTGTCCGGCATGGTCGCAGTGGCGCCGCACCCTGGTAGCGGCTGTGGGACAGGATCTCTCCCTGTCCAGCGTGGTACGCGCCATGCTGAGCAGCGACAGATCCTGGAAGACGGTGACCTCTTTCTGCGAGGACTTTATATCGCAGAAAGAGGCCGCGAAGATGGTTCGCGAGGAATAAGCTCACGCAGCCACTCCCTCCGATACAGGAGAGAGGGAGCTAAGAGGCGGCGACCTCGAGTCCGCCCTTAGCCCCCCAGCGGGCCTTCTATGACGGCCCGGGAGGGGATGCACCATAGCATCAACGCGACGGGGTAGTGGGACAATTGGACATGACGAGCGGTGACTCCCAATCCGGGGACCCGTAATACACACCAAAAACACGTCACAAGTGAAACTTTTGAAGTGTTTTGAATCGCCTCAAATTTTAAGAGCTATTAAAGAGATAATGCAGGCCAGGTACCTATACTGAGTTAGCTCATGTTACACGAGTTTATGAGATCGAAGAGCTCGATGGTGTGGGTGGTTAGCGCGTTCGGCTACGATCGTTGAAGTTAGGCAACTTTAGCAGTGGTCGGTCATTGGATGAGTGGCCAAAAATTTACTATGTCTCGCTCCTCCGTGCGTCGGAAGGCACGTTAAGCAGTTGGTCCCGGATGCATTTGCAGTCGTTAGAACCCACTAATACGCACTGGGCCCGCGTGGTGGGTCATGGCCCAATCTCCCTAGGAAAGTCTTCCATCCATAGGAAAGGCCTGTGCCCCAAGCAGTGGGGACATTAATAGGCTGATGATGATGACACGGGCTTATAAAAAGTGAAAAATAAAAAGAAAGACCCCTTGCTTGTTGATCAGATCAGATCTTTTATGATAATTAATAATTAGTGGCGATGTTATAAAGGTTTCAGTTTGAAAATGGAAAAAGCGTGCAAAAAGTTTAATTGCAAATTATATCTTACAGGTACCTAGACATAGTTCTCTGTGGTTATAAAAGGATATTGTTCTGGGTCAATACATTGTTAGCCTAAGAACCAACAATTATGAAATATGACTTTCTAGCTTCGAAATTGCAAGTAAACGACTGTAAAAACAAAGATTATTGACGGACACTTCTGAGAACTTAAATCATAAGAAAAACTAAATATTTTTTGAGGTTATGTTTAATATTAAATGAAACCTATGAGCTTAGTATGAACTCAGTATGAAATGAATTAATATAACAACTTATTCATTTTTATTCGGTGCTATTTTAAAGAATAACTATTAGGAATAACTTGGTTAGGTAGGAATCACGAATAAAATGAAAACTGTAGTTTTGCTTCTTATTTATTGACTATGTTTGACATAATTGTATCATATTGTATTTATTTGTATATCACATGTATATTGTGTAAATATGCAACGTGAATGTGTATCAGGTGCTCTTGAATAATTTGGCAGTATGATCCTCTCAAGATGTTGTGGCACTGTTGTGGGTATATTAGATAGCCGAAAGAGTTAAATTAAAGGAAAAACAATCGCAAATAAACACACACAACTGGTAATCCGAAACGAGAATTCTCGAATGCGAAATGCCACAGATTACTACGAATGCAAACTGCCTGCACCACAACCACAGAGTTTTATGCCGGCCCTTCACTTGACAACAGTCTGTTCTTGTCATGCTTAACAAGAATGAAAAGGACAGACTGATGTCAAGTTTTTAAATAGCAAACACGAATAGCCAAGTGAAGTGCCGGCTTAGGAAGAAGGAGTGTTTTGTTTGCAGCGCTGTCATGGATTATACACATAAAATGGTAGTTACTGTCTCAGATTATTTTTTCAACTTTTTAATATAGCTTACTTAACTGGAAGTATCCGTCACAATCTAAATACTGATAATTATCGCAAAAAATATACTAAGAATTATCATAAATGCCAAATTGGTGTTGCTTCTTAGACCAACTTTAACATTGTCCTTTGGGTCTTTTATCTAAGCCGTAAAAACTTCGCTTCGCTGGTTAGCTTAAGCCTTTCAAACGTTTTATCTTTAGAGTTTATTCACCGCTAGAAACTTTTGATGTTCCATCTAAGGCAGAACTGACATTATTCGTGAATATCGGAATGTGAAAATCTCGATAGCAAGCAATGATTAGGGCCAGTTGGGGGCCTTGATCTATTATTTACAAACTTACCGGCACAATATATAAAGTTTAAGTAAGTTAAAATATTTAAGTTTAAAAAGTTGATCAGTTCAAAAAGGCTGTCGCTTTATTTGCAATATTTATAATTCGTTTGTCTCTTTTTTTTATAGATAGATCTAACAAATGACCCCACCCCACCTGATGTTAAATGACGGTGAAGTCCAGTCGTGAAGATAGCTGTTACAGCAGTTCTACCTGCTAAACCAGCCATCCTCACCTAGCCGGTCTGCATGTTGCTTTTTCACTTTTAAAGGATCCCAGATTGTAAGAAGGAGGGAACACGTGAGCAGGCAGAGCATTCCATTTACGGATAGTGCGACAAAGAAATGAGCCACCAAATTTCATTGTACGCGATGGGATTGTGGCCACATTTATACCGTGACAACGAAGGCTGTGGTCCTCAGAAGGAAAGCGTAAGGTGGGATAAGAGAGAATAACTTCTCAGAACTCTCGCCGTGGTACAGACGATAGAACGCGCTCAATGACGCCACGTCACGGCGTAATTGAAGAGGCTCGAGGTGTTTAGTCACCTCCTCATCGCCTATGATGCGGATCGCACGCCGCTGTAACCTATCCAAAGCATCGAGCAAGTACTTGGCGGAGACATCCCAGAGGTGCGAGCAATATTCCACGCAAGACCGCACCTGCGTCTTATACAACAAGCACAGTTGCTCGGGCGTGAAAAAGCGCCGCACCTTGTTCAGGACTCCGAGTCTGCGTGAGGCCGTTTTTACCACGCTTTCGATGTAATTCTTTGGATTGAAGTCACAGCGAATTTCCATACCGAGCATGGTGATACTGCTCTCTAGCTCCAGTGTTGTGCCCTGAAGAGAAGGACATGAAAGTAATGGCGATGTTTTTGCCGTGAAAGCGCAGACCTGGGTTTTCTTAACATTGAACTCAACCAAGTTCTTGGTACCCCATTCAGAAATGTAGTCCAAAGCCTGATTGAGTTCGATGACAAGATTATCCCGTTTTACACCTTGAAACATGGCATGCAAACCACTCTGCCACGGAGGTCGTCAATAAATACGAGTATGTAAAGATACCGATGATGATGATGCAAAGATACCTTTCTCTTGGAGCGTATGGAGTCGACTTGTCTCTGGGTCATCTCGCCGATGGACCCGGAGCCCCACAGCACTCGCCCCATGGCCGAGTAGAAGAACGTCATCCCCAACATTGGCACCGCGTACGTCACCACGAGAAACAACACTTGGTAGCTGAAACAAATGCCTGCATTAGATCAAGTCATATACACGAAATTGTGTGTTCTGATAGGTTATTCTCCCTTATTCCACCTTCCCCTTTCCTCCAGAGGACCACGTGCGCTGGCCTATGTTGTTACCGACTACCCATGGTCACTATTCCAACGCGTACAAAGAAAAAGGAGATTGCTCAGCTTCCATACATGTTTGGCCTAAAGACCAATAATCATGAAAATTTGTTTCCTAGATTAGAAATTATATATATATATTACTGTAGAAACGAATATTATTGACGGACACCCCTGAGAACTTCTATAAACCATATACACAGAACATATTAAAATAATAAATAGCAAATAAGTTATATAGTAAACTAGGGAAATCAAGCCAAGTACCGAAATTATGGATTAGATTCAGGTATATAGAGCATGTAGATTAACAGATAGATAGATAGATAGATAGATAGATAACACTTTATTGTGCACACCATATTAAATATTACACACTAGGACAAAACTTAAATAGTGAACAATTGGCGGTCTTATCGCTATATAGCAATTTCTGCCAGACAACCATAGGATGGAGAGATGAAATTTAATAAAAGAGGGGGTGTGCTCATATAACAAATAAAAATAATTACAATAAAAGATTCAGGATTAAACATACTCATAAATATCTACTATGCAAGTATACAAATATTAAATGAATGAGTAGAGAGACATAAACATACATACACACATACAGTTGGAACAACACAAACAACTACTTTGAAAGGAAAAAATCTTTAATCTGCTTTTTAAATAAACCAATCGTCTGGGCACGTCTGATGTTAACGGGGAGAGAGTTCCAGAGGCGCACAGCTTGAACACAAAAAGAATATTTATAAAAGGTAGTATTATGTGATGGAGTTTTAAGGCTCAAATTCTCTGATGAGCGTAGAGACTGAGAGTGGGAGCAGTGGAGAAAACTGAAAAGCTCTTTAAGATAATTGGGATAAGAGGGATTAAACAACACATTGTAAAGAAGGGAAAGTATATGAGTATCCCGGCGACGACGAATTGGAAGCCACTTGAGTTGAGAACGAAACTGGGAAACATGATCATATTTTCTTAAACCAAATATGAACCTGATGCAGAAGTTTTGAAGACGCTCAAGTTTATTTAGCTTGTCCTCGGTAAGATCTAGATAGCAGGCGTCAGCATAGTCAAGGACTGGAAGCAATAGAGATTGAGATAGCATAATTTTAGTGGCAGTGGGTAAAAAGTTACGTAGTCTTCTTAACGAACCAGCAGACGCATACAGTTTTCGACTTACAGCTTGCAGCTGTGGCTCCCAGCTCAATGAACTATCCATTATCACTCCGAGATTCTTTACCGTTGAACTATAAGGTATGTCAGTTCCTTCGAAACTAACTTTAGGAAGATTAGTCCAGTTAATTTGAGATAATAGTCTAGAGCTACCGACTATCATGACCTGAGTTTTGATAGGATTAACATTAAGGCCAAAAGCTTTATTACTCCACTCCGCAATTCGACACAGATCAACATTAGTTTTAAAAAAGATAGTTGCCTGTTTTTAAAGTTAATGCATAAGAGTAACTTTTAAAATCAGGTGTCATCTATGCATTTCCGGTTATAATAAGGTAGGTACTCTGTGAAAGAAACTGTGTGTTATTTGTGAATGAGCCACGGATTAGAGAGTATGTTCAAACTTTCGTTAACTAAAGAAAGCTTATTATTTTGTTATGTTTATGTTATAAACATATTTTAGATTTTTAGTGTATCACACCTTATAATGTGTTTATGAAGGTGTTTAGCGAAAAATGTGTGGCAATAGACTTTATGATGTCGCTTACCATCTATAATATTTGTCTTAGCACTTTTGCATGTAGTAAACATGATAATATACTTGTAGATATTAATACCACATTGTATTAAAAAAAATGTTTTATTTTATCGATCTCTACAAAATAGATTTGTTTTGATGTTATATAAACCACATCGATCAGTCTTTGGCTGAATATTACTGCACTCATAGCCATTAAATATGATTCGTATGTTTTCCAAACGGGTAAAATTAAAAGTCCTTTTTAAAATGACATATTATACAAAGGTGTCCGTTAAAATCTAACGACTGTAAAATAAAGTATAAAGAATTACCGTATATGTCAATATTTTTTGTACATTTGGGCCAATTTGAGCAATCTCCTTTGGGACCCATTTCTTTGTGACACTATCCGTAAATGGAATGCTCTGCCCGCTCACGTGTTCCCTTCTTCTTATAATCTGGGATCCTTTAAAAGTGAAAAAGCAACATGCAACAACATTCTGACAGACGTAAAATATCTCGCTGCTTTTAATATTGGCGTAATGCATATCAAACTGATGTCTGCAGTTGCTGCTACCGAAATCGGAAGTGAGATTTTATTTAACAGAATCTCCCTACAGTAGAAGCGACAACACGAGTATTCTTTAAGTTTTTATTTATTGTTTGTTTCATTGGAGTTTGTTGATTATAGCTCTTTCCACAAAGTAAATCAATACTACTTTTGGCGGTGACGTGTTTAACTTACTAAGTTTCTGGGGCTAGAAGGGTAGGGGTTTTATTTCAGGCCGGCAAAGTAGGGCAAGTTACCACAAATGCCTACATATATTTTCTAGAACATCATACATTTTCTACTACATATTTACACACTCAGGTCATAAGTATTGTCACACAGTAAAAACTTTTCTTTTAGTATGCTGACCACAAAAAAGTTCATTGAATTCGAATTTCGAATTGTTCATGAAAATAAAAATGTATACTTTTTAGAATTTTACTCATTTTTAAATATGGAGTGGACGCTTAAAGAAGGCCGTGTTGCAGTTATTGCGTTGCATCGTTGCGGCTACGCGCCATTTCAAATTTTTGACATACTGAAAATTTTGAATATAACCGAAAGATTCGTTTATCGTACCATCAAACGATACAATAAAGACTCTAGTGTAGATAACAGGTCAAGAAGTGGTCGCCCTCGGTCTATTAGGACTCCAGCAGTGATAAAATCTGTGAAGGCGCGAATTCAAAGAAATCCCAAACGTAAGCAGAAACTGTTGGGTCTTCAGATGGGCTTAAGCAGAACCACGGTGAAAAGGGTGTTAAATGAACACTTAGGACTTCGGGCAGGTCTAATGGACCTGAGACTGAAGAGACGCCGCTCTTTGTTGAAGCGGTAAGCGAAAAAAAATATCGGAAATGTCTTTTTTCGGATGAAAAAATTTATACCGTAGAAGAGAGCTACAAAGAAAATGATAAGGTGTACGCACACAGTAGTGAAGAAGCGAGCAACCGTATGCCGCGTGTCCAACGAGGTCATTTTCCATCCTGCTCATGGTATGGTTGGGAGTTTCTTATTGGGGCTTAACAGAGGTACATTTTTGTGAGAAAGGTGTAAAAACGAATGCAGTTGTGTATCAAAATACAGTCCTGACGAACGTTGTGGAACCTGTTTCTCATACCATGTTCAATAACAGGCACTGGGTATTCCAACAAGATTCGGCGCCAGCTCATAGAGCGAATAGCACACAAGACTGGCTGGCGGCGCGTGAAATCGACTTCAACTTCATTCAAGCAAGGTAAGAGAAAATTCGACACCGTATTCAAGGCCGCGGTAGAGGGTTCGAGTCCCGTCCGCTGCCTGGTCTGCGTGGAATTGTTTCCAACCAAATTTTCTGGTATTCCTATTGTTAAGCAAATAAGCACATTTGAATTGAAACCTTCTCGGGTGCCTCGATAATTGCGACTTTGCTCGGCTTACTCGGCGCCACGAGCTCTAATCGGACTACCGAATCAGAGCGGCGAAGTTCTATCCGTTATTAGAGGTTTGAAAGTTGACTCTAACTACAGTTGAAAAGTTAGCGAAAAGCCAAATTAGTGGCCAAACAGCGCCAGGGAATTGGACTAATGAGGAGAAGGGACAATAAGCTTTTCCTCCATGAAAGTCTGACCGTAAAACTTTTATGGAAGTAGGTACATCTTCAATCGCTTTGTTATTAAAATGTAAAATGAAATCCCTTATCTCTGGGCGTAAAAAGAAATGATTATATAAATGCGGCAGTTTTTACGTTTACTTTTTCATTTTGCGGGATATTTTTTTTAAAATAAATAATGTAAAGAAAATGTAACTAGAAAAAACTCCACGCGGACCAGGCAGCAGACCGGACTCGAACCCGCACCCTTCGCAATCCGGGCGAATGCACTGACCAATTATGCTACCGCAAAATATACCTTACTTTTATTACACAGATTTTTTTTTAATTTCCAATACACTCCTACTAGCCTAGCCCTAAAGTAAGCACTATGGGCTGGTATTACGAGATACTAGGGTAATGGATAGAATACATATATTGTACAAATATAAGTATATTTATATGTAAAATACACAATCATCATCATCATCATCAGCCTATTAATGTCCCCACTGTTGGGGCACAGGCCTTCCCTACAGATGGAATAGGGAGATTGGGCCATGACCCACCACGCGGGCCCAGTGCGGATTGGTGGGTGCTAACGACTGCAGATGCAGCCGGGACCAACGGCTTAACGTGCCTTCCGAAGCACGGAGGAGTTCGAGGTAGTAAATTTTTAGTCATTTTGGTCACCCATCCAATGACCGACCACTGCGAAAGTTGCTTAACTTCAACGATCGCATCCGAACACGCTAACCACTTGCGGCATCGAGCTCCTCATACACAATGACAATACACAATGACTGGATTATATTGTTTTAAACTTTCATGGTCACTAACATTATAGCTATTAACGGGATCAAGCGCAGTAAAAGACGACGTCAGAGGGTAGACCGATATGTCTGCCAATAACATCTACCCGCAATTACTTCAGTTACTCCGTGATCATGGCGCTTGCAACAGTGCCGAAATATCGGAGACTCATAAAAAACAAGGTACATGGTAACAATCCCGTTAACAGTTATAATGACTGGATTGTTCATCACACAAACACCGGGATTCGAACAC